CTCTGTGTTTCTCTCTGGTCAAATTAAAATAAATAAATGAATAAATAAAAGTAAATCACTGAAAAACTTTCAAAAAAAAAAAAGAAAAGAAAATGTAGAAATAGCAAAATAGCACAAAGACAAAAAAAAAAAAAAAGCCCAGCCCGCCAGGCAGCTCCAGCACCGCACAGCCAGGTTGCCACTCGTCTTTGCTGAGGCTTCCGTGTTCGCCGTGCACGCCAGGTCGTACTGCTCACACACGTCTTGCGCTGGCCCTCCCGTGACCTGCTATCGGGAGGGTTACCCCCAAGACCTTGCAAACCTAGACCAACGTCTCTGATAGAAAAAAGAAAATGCTGTGCTCTGAGGTGCTGGAGTCTCTTTCCTTCCACCTACAGCCTGGTCGCTGCAGGTCATCGGCCCCCTCCTTCTTCCCTCTGGCCCCCAGCTGCCTTTTTGGTTTTTTTTTCTTTTTTTTTTGAGAGATTTTTGCTATAGGGCATATGTGCTTGCGAGAGAGACCGAAAGCGAGAAATCACCTCCTGGGAGGATGGTCACTCTGCAATCCCTTCTCCTCCTTTCTTCCCTCAGGATCTTGGGCACACACACATACGCACCTGCTATGAGTTTTAAGCTGCTGGGTCTGGGACTTGAACCACAGTTGACTTTTTTTTTTGCTATAGGGTGCGTGCACTTGCCAGACAGACAGAGAGAGACAGAGAGACAGAAAGCGAGAAATCACCCCCCACGGGGGATGGCCACACCATAATCCTTTCTCCTCCATTCTCCTCTCGGGATCTTGGGCACACACACACGCGCCCGGCGTGAGTTTAAGCCACCAGGTCCAGGACTTGAACCGCGGTCGACCACGTGGGAGTTCAGCAACATAGCCATTACACTAACTGCTGGTCCCTAAGCCTCAAATTCTAAATGGGGAGAGGAAAAGAGGCTTTCCCTAGACTGGCCCTGCGTGCCAGGAAGCGATGGATCCCCATGGGAAACCAGCTCTTCTATTTGGTACCAAAAGAATGGACACTGAGTGGGTCTGACTTTGGGAAGCTAAGAGGACCTATATGGGGTTCTGCTCCTCCCAAGTAGGCAGGGGTCTGGAGGGTGCCCTAATGCCCACCCACAGATGCCGCAGGACCTGTGGTCTCCCAGGGAAGAGGCCCCCACCTGCCCGCATTAACACTGTCCATCTCCCTCCACTCTCCCCAGCACCTATAACTTCTCCGCCGATGGCTTCCACAGTTCAGCCCCGGGGGCTAACCTGTGTCTGGGCTCCGGTGTCCACGGTGGTGTAGACTGGATGAGGAAGCTGGCCTTCCGCTACCGGCGTGTGAAGGAGATGTACAACACCTACAAGAACAACGTCGGCGGTGAGTGATGGGAAGAGGGACACAGCAGTGGTCCTGGCCCAGAGCAAAGGACACTCCTCAAGCACGGACAGTGTCACTGGTTTGCACCTGCTGTGTGCCAGGCGCCGTTCTGAGCTTATCCACGCCAGGAGTATCACTTGTCCAAAATGCTTGGGACCAGAAGTGGTTCAGATTCCAGATTTTTTTTTTGGATTTTGGAATATCCATGTATACATGGAAGAAAGAGTGAGCTATCTTGGCAATGAAACCCAAGTATAAACACAAGATTCTTTGTTTCACATACCCCTGTATGCATAACCCAAGGGGAATTTTATACAATATTTTTGTACTGCAGCATGGCCTGTGATCGGTCACATGAGGTCAGGTGTGGGATTTTCCACTTGTTGGCACTCAAAGAATCTTAGATTTTTTTTTTTTTTTGAGAGGTTTTTGCTATAGGGCGTGTGCGCTTGCCAGAAAGACAGAGACAGACAGACAGATAAAAAGTGAGATATCACCCCCCAGCGGGCATGGCCACACCACAATCTCTTCTCCTCCATTCTCCTCTGGGATCTTGGGCACACACACACACACACGCCCGGCATGAATTTAAGCCACCAGGTCCGGGACTCAAACCACAGTCAACTCCATGGGAGTCTAGCGACGTAGCCATTATGCTAACTGCTGGTCCCAAGGATCTTAGATTTTGAAGCATTTTTGGAATTTTGGGTTAGGGGTCCACAACCAGGACTAGCTCACTTAACATCGCCCCCTTGACTCCCTCTGGAATGGTACTTCACCATCCTCACTCTGAAGGTGAGGACGCTCAGGAATCAACAGGAGGTGGGGGTGGCCATGAGGGTTGAAATCTCTTAGACATAAAGTGTGGTTCTTGAACCAGCAGCATCGGCGTGACTGAGGACTTGTGAGAATGCTCATGCGCATGCCTCGTGCATGTTTGTGAAGCTGTTCTCAAGCGAGGCTTGTATTGGAGCTGCCCGAGGAGCTCCTACGTCTGTTTTTTTCCATCTGAGTTCCCCGGCAGTTCTAACAGGCAGCCAGTGTGGGGACTATGAACGAGACAGAGAGCGTTAGTTTCTCACCATGACCAGGAAGTCTGGAGGGGGCCAAAGGCAGGGCTGACTCAGCAACAACCAAGCCACAGATCGCCGTTTCTAGAATTCTCTAGACCAGTGGTTCTTTTTTTTTCTTTTTTGACAGGTTTTTGCTATAGGGCGTGTGCGCTCACCAGACAGACAGAGAGAGACAGAGACAGAAAGTGAGAAATCACCCCCAGAGGGGATGGTCACGCCGCAATCCCTTCTCCTCCATTCTCCTCTCAGGATCTTGGGCACACACGCACACGCGCCCGGTGTGAGTTTAAGCCACCGGATCCGGGACTCAAACAGCAGTCGACTACGTGGGAGTCCAGCGACATAGCCATTACGCTAACTGCTGGTCCCTAGACCAGTGGTTCTTAACAGAGGGTGATAATGGGCCCTTCCCAGGAAGCGTTTTGGGGTCTTCCTGATGGTCACGACATCTAGAACCAGCTATTAGCCCGTAGGGGCAGGTTGGAGTAGATGACTGAGTGTCCGCCATGTATACCCTGACCCCTAGAGCCAACGTCTGCCCAGCATCACACAGCCAGGCATGAGAGCCGCAGTGAGTCCCAGACCAGACGGCTGTGCCACCTCTGCCCTTCAGGCCGCCATAGCCAAGTCCAGCGATGGCAGGAGTGAAGCGCTGAGCTCTGGTCGGGGGGGCTCTGCCTACTCACCACCCTCCACAGGGACGAGGAAGCAGGTGTGCTTGGCTAGGGAGGCAGGAATGGAGTGGGCAGGAGGTACCATCTGCTTCCCACCCGGGTGAGGGCCCAGGAAATTGCCAACTGGCTTTGCTGTTCCATCAACTGAGGGGAGGTTACCCAAGGGGACAACAGGCGAGGAGCCCACAGCAGGCAGGATGCCACCCCCTCTATGGTCTCTGCCTCACCCCTCGTCCCTCCCAGCTGCGTCTGCATCAGAACTAGCCGGGTGCAGCGCTGTGGCCTCCAGCCCAGGCCCCCACAGATCCCGGGATTGTGGAAGTTGTGCTCGAGAAGAGATGTTTACAGGATGTAGGCAGAAGAGAAAATGCTTCCTACGCCAGCGTGAGGGAGGCTGCGGTTGGATTCAGAGGCCTCGCCTGATTCCAAACCTCCCTCTGCACTTGCGGTGGAACCTCAGACAGGTTATGTGACCTCTCTGTGCCTCAGTGTCCTCGTATGGAAGATAAGGCTGGCCCAGAGTCTTTGGCACAGCTGGCAATGTGCCAGACTGTGGAGCTGGAAGCCACAGGCTGGCGGTGGTTCAAATCCCCAGGCTCATCCATCTGGAATCGTGCCAGGCTTGTAGGCGCGTGCCCTGATCCTGTGCGGCAGTCGCTGGACCCCCTTCCCTAACTCCACCCCTCAGATCTTCCTAAAATGACGACCCATCTTTATCTCCTTTGTCCACAGGCTTGATAGGTGCTCCCAAGAGAGAGACTTGGCTACAGCTCAGAGCCGAGCTGGAAGCTCTGACAGACCTCTGGCTGACCCACTCCCTGAAGGCCCTAAACCTCATCAGTTCCCGGCAAGTGGCCCCGTCTTCCCTTGTGCCACTGAACTTCCTCCTAGCAGACCTCGGTGACTCCCCCAATTCTCGTTGCACACTTCCCAGACACGTGATCAAGCTGAGGTACAAAGGGCACTGTGGGTATGTGGAGTGTGGCTGAGCAGGTCGCTCACAGACTTATCAGGATCCAGCAGGTTTCCAAGTCTCTGGATTCTCGTCGAAGATCAGAACTGGCATGTACTCTTCAGTTTACCCCAGTCCCCACCTTTCCCTGTTGTCCTACACGTAGTCCATAGTATTCATGTACCTCACCCCCCTCCTCGCTTGTCCCTGCTGTCCTACTCTTACTTGGTGTCACTCACTCACAGTCCCTGCAGACCCCTGCAGTTGTTCACGTGTGTGGTCCTTGCAATAAACATTTGCCTTTTAAGTGAGAAAGTGTTGCATCTGCATTACATTCCAGTCAGGCAGCTTCAGGCTTACAAGAGAGGAACAACTGGAAAATCGCTCCCCTGAGGGGGACCTAGCCAGAACCTCCAGACCCCACTAGAATTCCTGCCAACTCAGGCTCTCGTAGCCAGGTGAGGAGGCCTAGCCTCTGAGTTCTGACCCACAGTCTCCTTTGTCCTCAGACCCAACTGTGTCAACGTGCTGGTCACCACCACTCAACTAATCCCTGCGCTGGCCAAGGTCCTGCTGTACGGCCTGGGCTCCGTGTTTCCCATTGAGAACATCTACAGTGCGACCAAGACAGGTAGGAAGGGCAGGCCGAGGGCGTGACGAGGGGTAGCTGCCCATCCCGGGGACAGGGCGTTTAAGGAAAATGGCCAGGGAACTCGTCCACGGCATGACTCAGATCCCAGAAGAATTTTCACAGCCCCCCTGCCTTAGCCTCTACCTCTAGAGAACCGGGCTGGGAGCTCAGCTTTCCAGCATGTGTTGATCTGGCTACATGCACAGCTGCTGTGACGAACACCCCAAACACAGGGCGGTCATTTTTATCTGGGTGGCGCATCAGACAGCCTTGGTCACCGAACATCCTTGAATCTAACCTTGAATCATACAAAGGAATAATTGTCTTTCTTCCTTCTCTTTCAAGGAGAGTTTCAATTTAGTGCTAGCTTGTCTTTAACACCCAATTAATACCTTCTGATCTCCCTTATTAACAAAGAGAACAAGTCCAGGCGCAAAGCTTTCATCAGACAAGAGAACCGAGGAGCTAGACCTTAACAGCATTGTTTGTCATGGATTACCTGCTTTTTGTGGCAAAGAATATTCATTTTCTTTTGCATGTGGAGGGGCTGGTATTTTTTAATTCTTACAGCATCTAAAAAATATATGATGCAAAATAAGTTAGTTAAGATCATCTTTTCTTAAAGAATTATTTAACTTTATTTATTTTATTGGCTTATTTATTTTAATTTGGCGAGAGAGACACAGAGAGAGAGAGAGAGAGAAAGCAAGCCACCAGGTCCGGGACTCGAACTGTGGTCGCCCATGTGGGAGTCCAGCGCCCTTAACCACCATGCCACCTGCCAGCCCCTGAAAGCAATTCCTAAGAGCAATTTTTGTCCTTACTGAAGTTCTAGGTCTGAACATTATATAAACATGCCTTTAGGGGGACCAGCAGTTAGCGTAATGGCTATGTCGCTGGACTCTCGTGTAGTCGACCACGCTTTGAGTCCCAGACCCAGTGGCTTAAACTCACACCAGGCATGCATGTGTGTGTGCCCAAGATCCCAAGAGAAGAATGGAGGAGAAGGGATTGCGGCATGGCCATCCCCCCGGGGGGGTGATTTCTTGTTTTCTCTCTCTCTCTCTCTCTCTTTCTCTCTGTTTCTCTGGTAAGCTCACGTGCCCTATAGCAAAAATCTCTCAAAACAAGAAAAAAAGCCTTTAAATTGTAAAATCATAGTACGGTAGTCTCCCCTTAGCTGCAGGGGATACATTTCAAGGCCCCCCAATGGATGCCTCTGTAAGACCACAGTACTGAACCCTATATAGAAACCACTGTTTTCCTATACATACATACCCATGAAAAAGCAGAGCTGATAAGTGAATAAACGTTAACAATGATTGGACCAGCAGTCAGCGTAATGGCTATGTTGCTGGACTCCCATGTAGTCGACTGGGGTTCGTGTCCCAGACCCGGTGGCTTAAAACTCATGCTGGGCGCGTGTGCATGAGTGCCCAAGATCCTGAGAGGAGAATGGAGAAGGGATTGCGGCGTGGCCATCCCCCCTGGGGGGGGTGATTTCTCGCTTTCTGTCTCTCTGTCTCTCTCTGTCTTTCTGGTGAGTGCACGTGTCCTATAGCAAAAAAAAAAGGGGGGCAATAAAACAGGACCGTCATGGCAACATACCATCAGGAGGTGATGCACACGCGGTCTCTCTCAGAATACCTCATACTGTGCTCACCTGTTTTGGACCATGGTTGACCGTGAATAACTGAAACCACAGAAAGTGAAACCCGGATAAGGGGAGACTATTGTAATTCAGGCCAAAATGGCTGGGAGCAATGTTAAACAAGGCCCTGTGGGCCTTCATTTCCCTCCTGCATACCCAAGTCATGTGCCTTTGCAGGTTTATTTGGAACCTCTTTGTTTTAATTCGTTAATTTTTCAAAGCACACCCCAGTGGGCACCACGGTCCCTTGCCCATTTCTCCATCCTGCCGAGGCGTTGGGCACACATAGGTGCCTGGTGTGTTTTTCAAATCTGTAGGGTGAGATTTGAACCGTGTGGAATCCATCTCCTTTTAGCCTGGGCTGGCTCAGTAGTTTTTATTTTTAACTGTGGTAAAATAGCACAGACGTTCTACTATTGTCACCTTTTCCTTAGGTATTTTTTCTATAGGGCATGTGCGCTCGCCAGAGACACACAGAGAGAGAGAAAGTGAAAACTCATCCTCCACGGAGTATGGCCACACCACAGTCCTTCTCCTCCATTCTCCTCTTAGGATTTTGGGCACCCACAAACATGCACCTGGCATAAGTTTCAAGCTGCCAGGTCCGGGACTCGAACCATGGTCAGCCACGTGGGAGTCCAGCACCTTAAACACTATCCCACCTGCCAGCCTCTATCATAACCGTTTTTAAGCATGCGGAGCTGCAGCATTATGTACAGTCGCATTCTCGTACACCCAGTACCACCTTCACGCCCAGAGCAGACAGCTGTGTAGACTCAGAGCCTGCTTCAAACCCCTGCACTGCCTCTTCCTGCTGTGTCAGCCTGAGAAGTCACTTAACCTTTCTGTGTTCCGTGTTCACCTGGGGTGGAAACAATGCTCAGGATGAAATGGTTAACACCCGGCCCTTGGGAGGACGGTGCATGGCAAGCTGTTAATTAGTGATTAGCATTTGCTGCGGTCCTGGGTCCACGTGGAGCTCTTCTCTTCTTTCTCCCTCT